GTTCTCTCCGGGTTCTCTGGCTTCCTCCCACAGTCCAAAAACATGTTGAGGTTAATTGGTGATTCTAGATTGTCCGTAGGTGTGAATGTGCGTGTGCTTGGTTGTCTGTCTCTAAGTGTAGCCCTGTGACAGACTGGTGACCTGTCCAGGGTGTCCCCTGCCTTCACCCTGAGTAGGCTGGGATAGACTCCAGCCCCCCCATAACCCTAGTGAGGATTAAGCAGTGTGTAGATAATGGATGGATGGATGGATGGATAACTTTATTCCCACTAATATCACTAAAGACAGATTGTACATGTTATACGGAAAAGTTCACATATAGTTTGTGCAAGATAACTTTGGGGCTTCACACATTTCTGACAGAGGTGATGGAAACTCATATTTGGGGGGGAGGGGGGAGGGGGGAGGGACACACACACACACACACACACACAATATAGATCATCCATTTAGCTGCATATCATAATTCATGCATTTTTCAATTGGAAACCATGGCAACAACAGAATGTTGTTCTATAAAAGGCCTGCAGACCTCTGACCATTCTCTTTTGCACTTGGACTTCTTCGTGACCTGACCTTGAGCAGATAGCTGGATAGCCCAACTCTTTTGAGATCTTTAAGCTTGAAAGCATCTTAAAAACCAAACTTTTTTGAGACTAAACTCAGCGGATACCCGAAGGAAGAAGGCGACACCTGAACTCCCGCAGACTCCACCAGTGGTAGAGAAGCAGCCCCTTCATCCGGACACCTGTTAGAGCCACCAGTCAGCATGGAGGTAGGAACATTTAGTTTGTCACTTTCCTGTGCTTAGTTCATTAACTGACCTTTTTTTTTTAGTATAAATCTGTAAGTTTGTCAAGTAAAAGATTTTTAATGGCCTGTTTAAAAAACATAGTTTAGGTCAGGGATCTCCAGCTCCGGTCCTAATGAGCTACTGTCCTGCAGGTTTTAGATGTTTCTGTACTGCAACACACCTGACTCAAATTAATGGATCATAAACAGACGTGTAAAACTCGACAACAAGTTGTTGGATATCCATTAATTTGAGTCAGGTGTGTTACAGTACAGAAACATCTAAAACCTACAGGACAGTAGCTCACAAGGACCAGAGCTGGAGATCCCTGGTTTAGTGATAATGATGTTTTCTTGGTGTAACACTGTTAAATTTTACTGTATAATAAGTTGGTATTGATGCTGCAGTGATTTGATACATCTGTTATTTTGGTTTTGGTACATTAATTTGTCTAAATTCGCCAAAATTGTATAGAAATAAGATAGTGGCAGTTATTTTTTAAAAAACAACTCAAAATCTGTATTTTTGGTAACCATGGAGACCGTGGAACTATTAGGAGAAGCCTCTTAGGATAAGTCAGAATGTGCAGGTTTAAATGATGCAGCTGAGTTTATGTTCACAGCTGATCCTGTTTGTGAATCAATGTTTAGATGCTGTTTAAAACATGCCATCGGATTTGTGTTGTTCTAAACTCAGAGTTGAAATGAACTGTGTGGAATCTGTCATGTATCATGAGAATCATCACTTAAGGTTCAGGGTTCAGTGTGTGTAATTACAGTTTTGCGCGCTACAGCTGGTTGAATGTATCAGTGTTTTATAGCAGAGATGGAGAATGTGGCATCATCTTGCAAACACAGTGCACATAGGGTCATGAAACCTGTTCTCTGTGAATGACTGAAGGTCCTCAGAGAATCTTTTCGAACTCTCTAATTTAAGTTTATTTTTACGAAGATGCTATGAGACAGATGTGGTTAATTCGGTTGATTGTGGTGAATCCAGTAAAATGATGCGTTTATATGTGGAACTGAGTAGATCCATTACTACTGCATGTGTTTAAAACTGTGCTTCTACATATTATAATTCACTGCTGGAAGTGACAGATATGGAATATAATGTGTTTTATATTACACACTTAATATCACTGATTATAGAAGACCAGAAACACCCAAAGATCCCAGAAAACATCACTGATGATGCGTTTAAGTGTATCAACATGATGTATTACACTCAAAAAAAAAAAGAAAAAAGTTTGTTTTGAACTGCTTTGAATAATTCAGTCATTTCCAAATTGTTCCTGTTTTGTGAAATTGCAATTAATATCAAGTAAGATCACAGAAAAAAAAATATTAATTCACATTTTAACTTTGCAAACAAGCCATAGCTTTAAATCACATGAGACACCTTTATTTTTTATGAATTGTAATTTGTTCTTTTACAACATGTGGCCATAAAATGTACAGATGTTTGTCATGATTTCTTCAGTGTGCATGTTTCAAAATAAAAACTACAATATGAGGGGGAAGTAAAACAAGCAAAATGTATTGAAGTTAGACTAAAGACCCCTGTGATAGACTGGTGACCTGTCCAGGGTGTCCCCTGCCTTCGCCCTAAGTCAGCTGGGATAGACTCCAGCCCCCCGCGACCCTAATGAGGATTATGCGGTGTATAGATAATGGATGGATAGACTAAAGACACACAAACTGTGGACTTAAATGGAATAACGTGTGTGCAGAGTTGGAAACCTGCAACACGGGGAACTGTACTGAGTAACTTTACCGCCTGTAATCCCTCCATGGACTCAGTGTGTTCCATAATGTGCAGCAACATGAAGCTCCTCATGACGTTCCTCTGTTCCATCAGTAACGAGCAGCTCTGCTCTAAATGTTGAGGGAAATGAATCAGTGTCCACCTCTGACAGCAGGAACTAGTCTGAGCAGCTTCAACACTCAGACCTGTTCTGGACGTTTCCTCTGTTCGTCCTCCTTCATGCAGTTTAGTTGTGATCATTGAAATGTGAAGATGCTGATGAGTAGATACAGTTTGTGTTGATGCAGTTCAATGTTTGTTTCTGTTTCTGTTTTCAGCGCCGCCGCCCCGCCGCCGCCTCTCCCAGGTCTCCTCCACACACACCTCCTCACTCTCCCTCCTTCCTCCCTCTATCCCCCTACTTCTACTCACCCTCCTGCTTACCCCCTCTCTACTCCTCCTCCTCCTCCTCCTCATTCTCCTCCTCCTCTTTCTTCTCCTCCTCCTCCTCCCCTTCCTCCCCCCCTTCCTCCCCCCCTTCCTCACCCACCTCTGTTCACTCCCTCTCCTTCTCTACCCCCTTCATTTCTGACCCTCCTCCTCGTCTGTCCTCCCCTTACATTTGCTCCACTCCACCTCCCCTCTTCTCTCCTCTTGCCTCCCCCTGTGTTTCTCCTGTCTCCTTCTCACCCTGTGTTTCCTCACCTCCGTCTCCCGTCGGCTGTTCGTGGAGGTCGGTTCTGCTCCCAGAGTCCGACCAACACGACAGCCTGATGGTTGTGCGGCACCTCTCCGCAGCAGGAGCTGTGGAGGCCCCGCAGGTAAGTGAGGTTCGTGGGGCCCCTGCCAAGCCTCGCGCGAAGGCAGTGGGTCCAGAGCCAAAGTGGGTCGTTAACCTGAGGGCCCTTATGCAGGCGAAGCGTGGCCTCACTGCATCAGAGCCAAAGTGGGTCGTTAACCTGAGGGC